GAGGAAAGTAGTTCGGCTGCTCATCCACTATTGGTCCAGACTCTATCAATCTTGTCACGAAAGGAGTAGGCGAAGACGTTTTAGGAGATGCTTTATACGAATGTTGCTACAATTTTTTCGCTACGTTATAGGAATTGTCGTTATAGGAACGCACGTTATAGGGGGTCGACTGTAATAATTTCCGATAATTATGCAACTCGAATTTTATGTAACTTTTTGATTAAATAGTGTAAAATAAACAATCATCTGTACCATTTGCTATCGTGATTGAAACAAATAAGTGCTAGAGCTGTTGCAATTACGTATATAGGCACTTCTTAAAGTGGTGCAATAACATCAGAGAAAATTTAGAGTATAAAAAAGAATATACAATGAAGTACAATGAAGTTACCCAAAATTATATTTTAAAGCATTTATCAATACAAAAATATTAATGCATTAAAAAATAAATACTAGACTAATGTTTAATTAATAAACATTTTTGACTTTAAAAAGGCTTAAATGTAATATTTTCCAAATTACGTAAAATTTGTCAAAAAAAAAATAATTAATAGAACAAAAAACTTTTTAATTAATAACAACTTACAAATAATTAGAGCCGATAAATCAAAGCAGATAATTATTGTAGAGAATAATTGGGTAAAAACCAAGAAACAAGAACTGGTAAGAAATGGTGTCTTTCGAAAACTTCCAGTAGACCCAAAAGAAATTATAACTAAAGAACTAAAAAGTAGAATCACTCTCTTACAAAAGTTAAAAAAAATTGACTAAAAGCGAGACAGAATTTATTTTGAATAATGATAATGATCGTACGCCTAAAATTAACAATCAGCTCAAAACTCAAAAACCAAATGAAAAAGTAAGATTTATCATAGACTTTTAATTCACTCCGTTATACAACCTTGAAAAATTCTTATAACAAAGATTGAAAGCAAACCAAAATTCAAGATTCGCGACATATAGTACAGAAGAACTTTTAACTGATATTAAAAACATAACAATAAAAGATACCTATAGAATAGCAAGTTTAGATATTACTAATATGTACCCCTCAATTGTATGGGGCATTGTAGATAAAAAACTAAAAAAACTTAACGTAGAACAAAAAATAATAGACTTGCAGATCTCAAATACTCGTATAATCGACTAAACTCTGTTTTTCATGACCATTGTTTAATAAATGACTGTAATATAGATAAAAATAATGTTAAAATCCTATGCAAAGAAAAAAATATATACAGTAGACCCCCCTATAACGCTTAGATACGTTCCACGTTAATCGAATTTTACGTTGTAGGAGTCATTAAATACATGAGCCAATCGCAGCCCGGCACGTGTGAAGTTTACGGACTAAGGCTGTTTGAAAGGTTTTCTTCTATAAAATTAACCGATTCTAGACTAATTCCACTCACATTTCCAAAGCACGTATAATTTTTTGGGAATAATCCGTATAAACTATGCTATAAACAAAAAATTGTAGGATTACTTACCGAGTGTGCACCGTTCGACTACGCCGTTGCTCAACCTTGTTTTCGTCGCGAAACAGCGCACGAAACAGCGGGCGCGATTTCTGATAACGAATTTTTTGCAGAAAAATAACTTGACCTTTGGAGACATCATTAATATAAATAATTTTTATGGCCGTTGAATAAGAAATGTTTCTTTCACAAGAAATGTATAAAATTAGTGCTGTATTAGACTTACGGTACCTAATTTACATACTGTACAGACGATAATAAACTCAACTTACTAGCCTAAAATCTCCGTAGCGTGTTGCCAGGCGGCAGAAAGCATATATATAATTATAATAAAGTTACAATAAATTAAGTTAATATATAATTATATATACAGTACCTAATTTATATATAATTAATATATAATTATATGTACAGTACCTAATTTATATATAATTTATATATAATACTAAACAGACGATAGCAAACTCAATTTAGCCGCTCCGTAGCGTGGCGCAGGGTCGGAGGAAAGTAGTTCGGCTGCTCATCCACTATTGGTCCAGATTCTATCAATCTTGTCGCGACACGAGTCGACGACGACGTTTTAGGAGTTCCTTTATACGAATATTGCTACAATTTTTTCGCAACGTTATAGGAATTTTCGTTATAGGAACCCACGTTATAGGGGGGTCGACTGTATAATAGAAAATTTAAAGAAAGTATCTCAGTCTTAACAGCCAAAAATTGTATCAACAAAAATTTAAGTGTAAAAATAAATAAGAATTGAATGAAAATATTATAATATACGCAATATACATTAATGTCAATTGTAATTATCTATAAGAGTTATGCTGTTGTTAATATTAATAATAACATCCTTTGTAATATGCAAATCAATACAACACTGCAATGCAGTATGTAACGCAGGAACGGTTAAAAAACAATAATGTAAAACATTGTCTATTTCTATTTTGAGATGTGTATGTGATTATGTCTAAGACTCCTGGATATTGTCAAATATATGAAAGATCATTCATAACAAATTTTAATGAAATTACTCCACTTATTGTAAAATAAGTTGTGCGCGCCAATTAAGACCTTCTATGTATAACAGATTAAAAATGGATATGGTAAGAAATATACATTAGTTTAATTCTGTTTTGTAAGATATGTCTTCACTTTTCGCCATGTCCAATCACGAAAAACAACAGTTTTTTTCAAAACAATGAAATGATATTTTTAACAAAGCTTATCTGAGACATGACTTTTTTCTCAGTATACACCAAGATACAAATATAATGAAATTTGTTTTTCATTGATTGTTGCTTTTGTGTATAAAATTTGATATATATATATATATACCGTATATACTATATTTGAAATGATTTATTTTTTGTTTTCATTAGAGAAAAGTATGGTCAGTTTTAAACTCAAACATCAGATTCATGATATACGACATCACTCCATGTTTCACATTACAAAATAAAAGTGAGTCTAAAATTGTTTTAAATGTAAATAAAATATTTACCTGCAGTTGTAGTCTCCTGTTTACTGACAGAAATTGTTGTTTATTTAATTTGTCTAAAGTATTATCATCCCTTTCTTCAATTGTTTCTTCTGTCACGGAAGACTCTACTAGAACTATATTAAAAATATATATATTATAGGTCACGACATGTTAAAATAATTATTTTTATGTCATATTTAACATTCCTGGCAAAAACAGATAGCATTGAACACACAAGATTTTCAATAACAGCCAATTTACAAAACACCGAGAAAACTTTAACGAAACAGTAATCTTTATTTCAGATGAAAACGAGAACTAGTTCAGCAACTAATTATAATCTTACCATGGGCAAACTAAACGTTGTAGGGATAGCATTTCATTTAGAAGTTTCCTACCGTGAGATTCTTCAAAATGAAGTTTAACCACAAATAATTTAATGTAAGTTCACGTATACATTTCATAGACAGTACCTATACAAAAATACGTGACGTATACTAACCTCACACAGTTTAAAATGTTCAGTTGTATGCTACTTATCCCTTCTGCAGTTCTGCAAGCATTTTTGCCTTTTCTGTTTATCTGCAGGAAATCTAAATAATCGAACATCTATAGATTTACTCTTACAATTTGGTGCCACACAATAACCCATTATGTAAGGTTTTGAATATTAAGGTTTACAGGTGATCCTCTTAGTCATTGTCCCCACGGAATGAGGTTCAGTACTTACGACAAAGACAACGATCTCATAATTATGAACGGTGTCGATATGTATAAAGTTTGATGGTGGTTTGGTTCTTGTTTATATTCCAACGTCATTAAAATTTATAAGTGATTTCCTACGTTCGGGCACATATGGAGTTACGTGGTATCATTGGGAAGGTTCGTACTACTCATTGCCAAAAGTTGAGCCGAAAATACGTCCTGTTAAGAAATAGTTGTATCAATATAGCTGCGTGAAAATAAAAACGTCTTTACTCTTTGAACTGCTCCATTGTTAATTTTGTTATTTATGTTACCTTTATCTTAAAAAAAACAAAATTTACATTTATTTCAATTTTCCGGATTGTATAAATTTATATTACATTTCATCATTTACAGCTAAAATAATTATTTAAATATCTGAAAGCTCTAATACTGTATATTGGCGCTTCTTTTCCCCACTTTCCTTTGTCAACAAATGTAATTTTCTGTTTATAATTTCCAAGGAAAAGTAACATTATTCAAACAAAGTAAAAAATAATTAATTTTGCCAAAAAGTATTTTTATTTTCGTTCATATTATAGATACCGTGCTTCTAAATTATGTATATAAAAACTTTTTAAGGTCATAAGCATATTTAAAAGTAATATAGATTTATCAAAAAGAAAGTTTATTTCAGTGACTGTGGAGCTACAGTTCATTCTGCTCCTTTTCAGGAACTTTAAAATTCATTTAATTTAGTTCCACCAAATTTTTAGTTTCGTTTTGCATATATCTGTTTTGCTTGACCGTAAATGTTTTAGAATGGATTAATACTACAGTTCACGTATTAATACGCGTGATCAGTTCATTTGATATACGAGTGCGACTATCACAGATTCGTTAGAATTCTTACTATCTGTGACGTCAAAGCACTCAATTATTAAGCATTAACAATCGCTTCACTATGTAAACATAAATTATTGAACTGAATATACTTAGAATAAGAAGAATTTCATATTTATCTGATAAAAACGTAAAGAGTAAACAAGTATTTCTTATCAAAACTCGTTGAAATACTTATATACACACTACCACTACTACAGTGTTTCCACACGGCACTAACAGCCTTCTACACCAGGCGTAATCGCTTCGTATTGTTTATGTTAGCTCTACTAAACACGGTCACTCGTAGTTTTGTACAGATGTACAAATCTACTCGAAAGTTTTAGAGCTGACTCGAAATTTCAAAAAAGGTGTAATTGTTTAAGGCATAAAAGCTAACATGACTGCCGCAATTTCGTTGTGGGGAATTGTTTTCCTTTCCTCCCAACTTCGGATATCTTGGACAGAAAGTACTACATGTGTGAGTGATGACGTGTTCACAAAACTCAAAGAAGTAGACAAACTCATCCATCAGAGTAAGTTTTCTAAGCTATTTTCTAATTCAGTTAATTAATTTTGTATATTAATTTCTTACATTTATCAGTCATAGGATTTCCTCCGGAAATAAGACAAATACCGACGGATTGTACCGATATTAAAAATCAGGGGATTGAAAAGTCTGGCATTTATGAAATACGAGTTATGAAAAATGAAACAACACCTTTTTGTTTCAAAGTGTATTGCGATATGAAAACAGATGGCGGCGGATGGACGGCGAGTACAAATAAACACTTGTGTTATTATCACTTTGCCTAATAGCGATAAACGCTTAATTTCCCAATTAAAGTATACATTCGATTATTCGAGTTAACGACATGGAGAACATGCACAGGAAATCAAAAAGTTATTTCTTAGAAGGAAATAGTTTGGACACTGTTCATCAGAAGCTTTATTTCACAATTTTTACTTTCCCGTCTATGTTCTATACAACAGAAGGAAAGTATGACGTTCGGTAAAACAAAATATGACCTCTCCCTATAATTTGAAACTTTTGGATCTATGAAATTTTGAAACGTCTAGTAATGCAAAGATATTCTAGAATTTTTTTTCTGTGTATAATCCATACACAGAAGTTGTATGAGTAGTGTGTAGGGGGAGGTTTTTGTTCATCCTGTTTGAAGCTTAATTAATGAGTTTTGTACATTTTGTCGAAACTATGAAATTTTGCGTGATTTGTGTTACGGGGGGATTGACGTTATTAACCCATTCCTACTCTGAAAATTAAGCTGTTTGCCATTTTATAACAATTAAAACTATAAAAAAATTTTCAATAAAATATCATAACAGATGGCGCCATACACACACAGTTTTAAATGTTGCCGAAAAGTTAAGCGACTTTTTTGCTGGATTTCTTTTATACAAAAGCCATCGTTTGATTACACAAAATTTTTTCAACAAACACTTTTTGTGTTTGGCTAATTATATATATAAAAAGAATGTTGCATGGTAATCCGCGCAAACGGTAGTGCACAAAATTTTCCGAAAAAATTGTCTTTTTATGTGCAAATAAAGTAATCGAACCTAGACAAGAGACGACCCCGTGTGTATGGTGAAGGACTGTCCTGTTTTTTCATTGTAAATACATCTGTAAAACTCGATTACGTAAAATATATTCGACTCGAGTACGACATTTAAAAAAATCAGATAGCAGAAAAACCGCAATACTTTATAGAAATGTTTAAAATCTGTTAACAAATATTGTTAATTACTTAACTAATTTGGTGTTATTACGTTTAAACTAATTATATTTAAAGGTATTCCAAAGAAGAGGAGATTTTGAACAACCTGTTTCCTATTTCTATAAAAATTGGAAAAGTTATGCGGAAGGATTCGGAAAACTGGACGAAGATTTTTGGTTAGGTAATCAATTTTAATTACACATGTTTATTCACGATTTATTCAAATTTTAGCTGGTGAAACAATTTTACTCAATACACGAATGCATATTTTAGGCAATGAAAAATTATATTATTTAACAAATCAAGGAAACTATTCTCTCAGGATTGATATGAAAGACAAAAAAGATAATACTTCATACGCCGAATACGGAAAATTCAGAATTGAAAACGAACAAAATTTGTACAAGTTACATGTAAGGAATTATAGTGGTGTAGCTGGTAAGTTAAAGTTTACTTAACACTTTATTGACATAATTAATAATTTAAAAAGTTATTCAAAGTATACTTTGCAATTATAATAAATTAAATTTGATATATCATTATGTAATTAATACATACACTTTTCAAAAATGAAATGGCAATACCACGAAAGAATGCAAATAGCCCAACCAACTACAATATACTACATACAGCTGCTATGACCTTAGTTACAGCGGTCTGTGGCAACGATGGGTACTATCACTCTTACACAATGAGTTAGATTATAACTCGTTATATTACACAACACGAATGCCACGTCCCCTTGACTAAAAATAAAATTGCGGACGTGTATTTAATGATTTCAAATATGGAGTTGCTTCAGGCACATATTCGGTACGAGTGACAGAGTTATGCAAATGATTAAGTGAACAAAGAAAGATATGCAACAGACACTTGTTTATTTAGTAACGATATGATTTTCGCGAAAGAACTTAATTTTTAGTGTACTCTGGGTTTTATAAAAAATTGTAAATGCTAATAACGAGAAAACTCCTAATTAAGTCAGACACTACTCGACATATGACACTCGACTCCATTTATCACTTTATCACATAGTCCAAAAATGTAAAAACTTGGGGTAATTTTTAACAGATCACCATACTTTTCCTCTGCTACATATTACAGTACATAGACAGAAAAAGTCGGAATTTGATTGATTGTGTACAGCAGCACAATACATGGGTGATCTGCCAAAAAGAATCTGTCTTCCAGGAGGACATTTTATGGGAAACTGACTCTTATTCAGGTATTACTAACATGAAGAAAGCGTAGAATACGCCACGTGACCAGCCCTTTAGCGAAACGCAATAAGACAACTATAATAACATCAATAAACAAATCTAATAATAGATTTATCGTGCAATAAAAGCTATCTATATATTTTATAAGAAATAGATTAAGGTCATTAAGTAGAATGCGTTTTATTTCCAACGTACAATTGAAGAACATTTTGTTACTAAAGCTTCTGATTGATTATAAATGCTTAAAATAAAAATGTTTATTTTAAGTTGGTTAAATAAATATGATTTTGGGGTCATGATTTTAGTTAGAAAGGTAACAGTGGTAATTTAAAATGTAATTCTTATTTGGAGAACTAAAAAAAACAAAAAATTTTGGATCAATCTCGAGAATATTTGTGTAATTTTTACCAAAATTATTCTGGGTATTGTCGTATATCACTGCAATATGTGTCATTGTTTTTACTTGTCTAAAATTCAAACAATTTTGATCTAATTATAAAAACTTTTTCATAAGTAAATTTAGATCATTTTAATACACTTTCTTATTGCTGATGTCAGGAAGTTGTACTCAATAAAGTTTATAATGAATTGCTTTTAGACCATGGTATAATTATATTAAATAAGAATCTACTCATGTGGGATAGANGGGATCATGATTACAGTTAAAAAGGTAACAGTGGTAATTTAAAATGTAATTTTCATTTGTAGAACTTTAAAAAAAAAACAAATGATCATGTTTATGTCAATCTCGAGAATATTCTTAATTTTTTCTTTCATATTTGTGTAATTTTTACCAAAATTATTCTGGGTATTGTCATATATCAGTGTAATATAATTCGTTGTTTTTAATTGTTTAAAGTTCAAACAATATTGATCTAATTATAAAATCTCTTTCGTAAGTAAATTTAGATCATTTTAAGACACGTTCTTACTGTTGATGCGAAGAAGTTGCACTCAATAAAATTTATAATGTATTTCTTTTAGACCATGGTATAATTATATTAAATAAGAATCTACTCAAGTGGGATAGACAATAATAAGGACTTATCACATCAATAAGAATAAACACAAACACTGAGGTATCAATATACAGTAGATACCACCTATAACACTGCTGATAATTCCGTTTTATATAAATTACATGTTTTACCAGTCACTTAGATTTTAGAAATACGTGTGCCGGGCTGTGAACGGCTCACTTGAATACCAAAACCGCCGCAAATTTTACGCATGGACGATGCGGTATTAGAAGCGGCATTAATAATTCATCTGAGGTCTAGTAGCGTAAGCTTTGAAAGACATCCACTTCTAAGCTTTGGTCCATAATTCGCAGGATTTGAAAAAATAATGCTTAACGACCTTTTTCGAACGTTTGATGCTGTTTGCTACTGCCTGGTGACTTAAACCAGTGCTTCTCAAAGCTACAATTTGTCCTGTCTTAATGTCTGTTAAATGGGTACCACGAGGCATGATAAAAAATACTTTCACACTCGAAACTTGCTAGAAAAATGGCGATTCTATACTTATGTGGCAGTATATAAATTGACTTCCTCGCTATTTCGCAGTCAGCAACGAATTAGTTTTTTAAAAGTAAGTTTTTAAAAGTTAGATGCTGAATTACACGTAAAAAATCTATTTCTACCTATTATGTTCTAACCGTAAAAGACCAATTTTTTGAGTAGTTCTATACTGTACTTTGTGGAGCACTTTAATAACCTTTATATTTTATACCAACTTAAGATAAACTACTTTCAACAGTCCGAAATGCATTTTGGTTATTTATGTTAATTACTTATACTTGTGTAATCGATTTTAACTGTACACCCCTTTTGTTTTATTAAATGTACTACATTGATACCTTAGTGTTTGTGTTTATAATCACTGGTGTGATAAGTCATTATTATTATCTACACCACATTAATAGTTATTTATTTAATAAAAATTAGCTTCTTTTGCTTCGGCGCTTTGAGTCTTTCTATTCCATTTCGTCTTATTCAAAGCAACTTCAGCAGAGACATCGTATCCCGCCATATTACGTTTAAGGGCCTTATTCCAAGTGCAGTATTTATAGTTCTTTCACATTTTGGCCCTTCCATTCAAATGTCTAGCATTTTTCCTACTGGAGCTATTTCTGATTGGCTTTGCAAATGCCGAAGCCACCTTTGTCGACATTCCTTCAAATTTTTATCTGACTTTGTGATGCCCAAGCTTCTCCTGGTGTAACTGTTTGCAATTTGTACAGCAATACCTCGACTTACGCTATCCCGACTTACGCGAACCCGGAGTTACGCAGTTTTCAAATCTCGTCGATTCGTCTTTTGTTTTAGCGCCACGCAGCTCTTGATTAGGGGAAATACGGACAAAATGACATACGGTTTTATTTTAGGTTCATAACGCTTTATTGGTAAATCACAGCACTGTCATATTCTACACCAATCATCTTTGGTTTTTTACCTATGAAATATACTAAACATTTACAATATTAAAATAATAGGAAAAAAATATTGTTAGTTTNTAAGAAATTAAAAATTAGATTTATAATCTTTATATAGAAAAAGTGAGAAGCGGATGTCAAAAATTTCTTTGGAAGATTTATTAAGTCATCACAAATTGTATGAATTATCCATTTTAAAAGCGAAAATGAGAGGAAGAAGGATACATTAATTCTTTTTACTTCTATGTCCTTACTGTTTTACATTTCTGTGTATATATATATATACTGTCTACTTGGACCTTGTTTATTAATAGGACTTATTATACTGGTGTAGTTTCTGATTAGCAAATACAGATCTTAATAAAAAGTTAAAACAGATAAAAATAAAGATATTTATTTTGGCTTTTGACTAAGATCTCCTATCATTGCTAATCAGAAACTTCACAAGTATAATAAGTCCTGTTAATAAAAACGTCCAAGTAGACAGTACGACTATATACACAGAAATGTAAGAAGGATATATTTTGCTGAAGTGTCTAGTTTATTAAGAGTAATTATGTGAATTAATTGTTTGAATCGTTCTCTTCACGTTTCTTTTAAAATTTTCCTGTTCCGTTCATTAGATACAGAACGTAAATTGTACCGGTTAATCGGAATTTTTATTACAAGGAATATTTACCATTTATTCCAGATAATCAAGTCTACTGTAAGAGATTCTTTAGATCAATTAACGATGTTAGTAAAGCTATTTTTATTAATTGAAAGATTTTCTATATAAAATACCAATTTCTTCTATTAAAATTTTAAATTTGACTTTCAATTTTCAAACTTAATTTTCAATTAAATTTAAAAATTCTCTTTGAAAATAAGTAATTCTTCAAAGATTACCTTTAGTTTGAAAAATGTAACTTCAGTAGAAAAATAAGCATAACGTAAGCGAAATTATAAATTAAATTAATAATATCTAAGAAGAATCTCGTATACTGGAAAGATAAAATGCTGTCAAGTTAATTAAAAGCTTCGTATCTTGACTTAATTAAATTCATTAAAATAATAGACTTATCTGAATATTCTTTAGCTATAAAACATTTCTTACTGTATGAAATGAATAAACATGTTACATTTGATCGATAAATCATTCTTTTATTTTTTCTACTTTTTCTATGTAATTTTATTTATAATTATCTAATGAATATGGATCATGGATCAAATTTTGTTTTTCTGTTTAAATATTAACATATCTACAAAAATAAAAAATCAAATTTAAATGTTATACATTTTTAAATTGAATAAAGTAAGCTCATTCATATGAGCTTAGATTACTTTAAAAAAGTAAATGTTAAACCTGTTTTATTAAAACTTTTAAACTATAAATCATACTTACGTACAATACAGTTCATTTTTATTCGTATTTTGACTAAGTTTACTTATAAACAAGAATATTAATTATGATTTAAAATGAAAATATCTTTCAATTAATATCAAATTTAATAGAATTTTCATATCTTAAACATAAATTGCGATAAAGTAAGAGTTACATGTTTTTATTTCATATAAATTTTATTTATTTTTCATCATTTTTAAATGCACTGTACTTGTATCTAGACTCTGTCACAATGGGATCACAACAATTTATAATACATATCACATTTATTCTAAATTATTAAGGAAAACTATTTCTTATAAAGTTTCATTATTTAAAAATTTATTATGTCTAGGGGAAATACGGACAAAATGACATACGGTTTTATTTTAGGTTCATAACTCTTTATTGGTAAATCACAGCACTGTCATATTCTACACCAATCATCTTTGGTTTTTTACCTATGAAATATACTAAACATTTACAATATTAAAATAATAGGAAAAAAATATTGTTAGTTTAATCGAGATCATCCACTATGGACAAAATGACATACACGATGGACAAAATGACATACACGTAAAAACTATAAAATTACTGACAAAGTTCACAAATGAAATGCTTGGCTCTTTTAGAAACGTCAGCGCAAGAAGCATGAGCCCAACG